AAGAGGACAGGTGACTCACCACAGTCACAGGACATTTTGAGAGATGCTCATAGTCCCCTGGAACTAGTTGGCCTAGGAGACCAAGGAGCAAAAAGTGTCCTTTATGTCCCTCTGACAAAATTAGTATAGACCTCAAAGTATGCCTGTTAAACACCCAAGGTTAGTTCCACCAGTCTGGTATTTTTAATTACTGTGTGTCATATAGATCTGATTTTCTTTTATAAATGGTACTGTCACCTATCCAGTTGTGCAGGCAGGAAACCTTGGGAAGCTTCTGCATTTCCCACATTAAATCTGTCCGCAGACCTTGCCTGTCCATTTGCCATTTGACTCCCCACCTTCAATCTCAGAGCTGACCTTATCTTTTCACTTGCATCATCCCCATCAAGATCAAGCTACCATCTGTTGCTTAGACTTCTGTAATAGCTTCTTGAGTCTATCTTCTCTGCCCTTGCCCCACCCTTCCCACCCCTATGTCTGGTGTCCACACTATAGTATCTTGTTTCAAATTATCTAGCACTTTTAGGATAAATACTGTGGACCTTAACATAGTCTGAGGGTTCTGCATGTGCTGGCCCTGCTGCATCCCTCATTTCACACCAAGTCCTTGTGTCGTCTACTCCAGCTGCTGCTAGAGGGACACTGCACACACTTCCCGTTTGTTCGAAGCACTCCTCTGCTACCCTGAACATAGAGATCACTCTTGACCTACCCATCCTTCCCAGCTCCCCATCATGCCCCCTCTGTTGGGCTTTCATAGCACAGTTATAATTTTATATGACTGATCTATCTTCAACACTAGACTGTGAACATAGCAATATTTGTATCTGGGGACTGGAGATATGGCTCAGCAGTTAAGAGCACTGGCTGTTCTTCCAGAGGACCCAGGTTCAGTTCAGTTCCCAGCACCCATATTGCAGCTAAAAACTGTCCATAACCTAGTTCCAGGAGATCCTACACCCTCTTCTGATCTTTGTGGGCATTGTACACACATAGTACACTTATATGCATGGAGGCAAAACACCCATCACACATAAAATGAAAATAAATAAGTAAAATATATTTTTAAAAATAGCTGTATCTGCTGGGCATGGTGGTGTATGCCTTTAATCCCAACACTTGGGAGGCAGAGGCAGGTGGATCTTTATGAGTTTGAGGCCAGCCTGGTCTACATAGTGAGTTCCAAAAAAAAAAAAAAGGGCCCTTTTTTCAAAAAAAAAAAAAAAAAAAAAAAAAAAAAAAAGCTGTATCCTCAGTGCCTTGGAACATAACAGGTTTTTAACAGTTTGGTCAGTTCTGATTTTTATACAGAAAAGTTAAGAATATGACATCTTGACATGTCTTGCTGTATAGCCCAAACTGGCCTTGAACCTGATCACTCTTGCCTCACTCAGCCTCCTGAGTATGATTACAATTGTGTGCCACTTGCCTGGCTCAGTGCCTTCAACATTCTTGTATAAAGAATTGTGTTTCTGGACTGGAGAGATGGCTTAGTAGTTAAGAACACGTGCTGTAGGGGCTGGAGAGAGGGCTCAGTAGTTAAGAACACTGGTTGTTTTTGCAGAAGACCCGGGTTCAAATCCCAGCACCCACATGGCAGCTAACAACTGTCTGTAACTCCAGTTCCAGGGGATCCGACAGCCTCTTCTGTCCTCCAAGGGCATTGCACAACATCGGTGCACTTACCTACATGCAGGCAATATACACACACACATAAAATAAAAATACTAAATAATTTTTTTTTTTTTTTGGTCTTTTTGAGACAGCGTCTCCCTGTAGCCCCAGCTGTCCTGGAACTCACTATGTAGACCAGGCTGGCCTTGAACTCACAGAGATCTGCCTGCCTCTGCGTCCCAAGAACTGGGATTAAAGGCGTGTGCCACCACGCCCGGCTTAAATAAAATATTTTAAAGAAAAGAAAAAGAAAAAAAAAGAACACATGCTGCTCTTGCAGAGGACCCAAGTTCACTTCCCAGCACCTTACATGGAGGCTCAAACTGTAACTCCAGTTCCAGGGGACCCAGTACCCTCTTTTGGCTTCCTTGGGCACCAGTCACACACCTAGCATACACATGTATATACAGGCCTCTGTTCAAACACACACACGCACGCTCTTTCTGAACACATGCGCTTTATTGCCATACTTGAGAGGAAGACTCCTAAAGAGGCTTATGATGGCCCCTAGAAAACGCAGACACAGGTAGAGGGTGTTTGAGGACCTTTTGGGCATCCTTGTCATCATTCAAGTGACTGTCCCACATAAACACGTGGAGTGCTGCTACTTCCTAACTCCTGAGAATTGACAGGGATCAGCAGGCCAAACAATGCCAGTTTCAAATCACTGTCCTGTTTAAAAGTATGTTACGCAATCTTATAACACCTCTTCCTCATTGATGCCTGTCAGTCTCATTCAGCTATTAGGGAGAAACTGGAAACCTTTGGAGTTAGCTGAGGATTCTGGCTCTGATAGGCTTTACCTTTCCCCTCTCACGTGGCTGAGAGGCTGCTAGAAGTAGTTCTGCAGGCTGGACGGGATTTGTTTCTTTCTGTTCCTAATGTACTGAAGTGGATGCCGTGCAGTTATATGTCTTATTTCCAGATCACTGTACTTCTGTCATTCCTGCTATGTCTTTGGCTCACTAAGTCCTTGGATTTGTCAGAATTAATATCAGACAGATATTATATGTCTGAAAGCTGTGTTGCAAGAGGTTCATGTGCTTTCCCGTAATAACATTCTGGATCTTTAGGATATCACGGTCAGTGGTGATTGTTCCTCTCTTCTTTCCCTGTCAGTGTCTCTGGATGAATCCCAAAGAATCTGATGCATTTAATGCGAGAGTAGACTGCCTCCCAGTTAAGAGGTCTGCTCTGAGGAGTTCACTTCTTAGAAATTATATTTGAGACCTTAACTTTTCTTTTTCATCTGGAAAAAAAAAATGATTCCAGGCCACCTAGACATTGTTTATAATATATCCCCAGGGCTTACCCCTGATGTATCTCTACAGAAGTATAGTAACATTTTTTTTTAATTTAGTATTTGTATTTTATGTATATGAGTGTATTTATGTATATGAGTGCACCTGTGTTGTGCAATGCTGCGGAGGTCAGAAGAAGACATCAGATTCCCCTGGAACTGGAGTTAAGGACAGTTTGTAGCTGCCATGTGGGTGCTGGGAATCAAACCCGGGTCCTCTGGAAGAGCAGTCAGTGCTCTTAACCGCTGAGCCATCTCTCCAGCCCCAGAAGTATAGTAACTTTTAACCCAAGGGGCTAGTTGCTTCTCAGCTCTGTCTGCTTAAAAGGATTAAATCACTTGGAGCATAAACTCTTCTCATTTGTAAAGTTGACTTTCCACAGGAATGATTTTCTATCTCAAGAAATTGTTCCTATTTCAAAGACTTTGGAATCCTATTTAATAATAATTATTAAATAATCCTATTTAATA